CCCCGCCGCCGCCGGCCGCGATTCTCGCCGACACCAGCCACGATAGCCCGCGCCGGACCTGCCCGCGCGTACTGCGCAGGCGCGCGCCTCGGCCGACGCGCAGAGCCGGTGAGCTGAGGCCGCGCAGCCAATCAAAACGCCGCGAGAGTCGGCCCGGGACGCGGCCGGCAGCCTCAGTGGACGTGCGCGCGACACCCCATGGGCCGAGGGGCGGGGCCTGCCTGGGGAGGGGCTGGGCCGAGAGGCTAGGCCTTCGTAAGGACCGGCTGGGGCGGGGGTCTGATCGGGCGGGGCCTGCAAGGAGGGGCGGGGCCGGATCCCCTCAGGAGCCCAGAGGCCTGAGGGGCCGTGGGAGGCGCTTGCTGAAGGGGAACGGCCGGCCGAGGGGCCTGTGAGGGGCCTGTGAGGAGCGTCCGCCGGAGGCCGGGAGGAGGGGGGATCTGGAAAAGAGGCTCAGGCAGAGGGAACAGCGAGTGCAAAGGCCCGAGGTCGTGAAGAGCTCGTGCGCTGGAGGGGGGAAGGTGGTAGCCACGAGGTCCGAGAGCGGGCGGCGGCCACCCGGGCCCGATGAGCTGCAGAAGAGACTGCGGAGGGGCAGAGAGGAGGGTGACAGGTGAGAGGAGTGTGGTGGGTGGAGGGGCTCCGAGCGGGACATCCCTGGGGAGCTGAACCCCAGGCCGCGCGGGACGGGAGGGGCGCCCGCCGGGACCCCACAGGCCCGACAGGGGACAGGAGCTCCAGAGCCCCGTGCCCGGGGACGAAGAGGGCCGCTTCTCCAGCCAAGGGCCAAGCCCGGGAGAGCCGCGGCTACTCGCGAGGTTCCTGCAGTTTAGGGGATCCCCGGGAGAAGTTAAAGGTGAAAGGCCTTGGCAGCGGAGGGAAGAGGGGGAGCGGTGGAGGCAGAGCGAGTGACCGAGCTGGAAAGGGACAGCTGGGGGGAAGGGGGGGGCGCAGAGTGGTCCGCAGGGGGGCACGGCGAAAACCAGGGTGGAGGGCTGGAGGAAACACGGCTGACACCCGGGACTACAGCCAGAGATCCTGAAGGCAGATCTCCAAGAACCCAAAGAAGACTGCAGCATCTGCCCGTGGATGCCCTGACGTCGGGTTACGACTGCCCCAGCCACATGAGCTTTTCTGCACCCACCCATCAAGTCCTACCCCCACGCCTAACTCTGAAGGGTTCATCAGCAGCAAGCCAGAGAAATAGTTGTCCCGGGTGGGGTGGGGGGGAGGGGTGGACAAAAGAAAAACGCCCACGCACACCTTCGCCAGAGTGGAATACCAGGGTTTTAGATGATCAGTAAAGGATACTCACCTCTTCCTATCTCAGTTTAGAAACAAGAATACACAGCAATAAGATGAGTGGATATAAAAATATCAGCCTTGCCCAGATGAAAAGCTAATTTGTAGGACAAGGCTTGGTTCTGCAAGCAAGAGGGCTAGCTACTGTTCCACCCTCAGATCAGACAAACATCTCTCCCAGCCTCCAGGCCATAGAGCTGCCCCACCAAGAACTATGCAGCTGAGTGCCAGTGAGAAGACACCCATCAGCCCACAGACCCCAAAAAGGTTACCCAGAAGAGCCTGAGCACACTTGACTCTGTTTGTTCTCTCAAACTCACCAACCAAATGAGTCACTCCAGTAACCTGGAAGCAGAAAGAGGCTGGAAGTTTTTCTCCAGGGAAGTCCCTCCATGTAGAAACATGAAGAATGGGAATAAGGGGCTCCAGCCTACATGGAATCACAGACTCTGAGTCTGGCAAAGCTAGGTGAGGGGAGAGGTTTCAATTGGAGAACAGACTGAGTTTTAATATTTTACTGGACTGAACTCCTATAAGTAAACAATCCTCTTTAATATCTAAGAAAAGAAACTGTAAAATCCGTCTGAGAATTCACACAGGTAAATTTCTAGGGACAATCATGAGAAAAAATAATGTTTCTCTCTGCTTGCACCCTATCAAGTTCAGCTTATTTGATAAACTGGATATAGAAGGCTCCAAGGTTTTTGGCATGGACAACCAGAAAGGTTTGATATCTGAGAATTCACACAGGTAAATTTCTAGGGACAATCATGAGAAAAAATAATGTTTCTCTCTGCTTGCACCCTATCAAGTTCAGCTTGTTTGATAAACTGGATATAGAAGGCTCCAAGGTTTTTGGCATGGACAACCAGAAAGGTTTGATTGGAAATTTCACCTTAGGACGAGGACATGTTATGACAGAGATGTTATTAGACATTCAAGTGGAAATGTTGAGTAGGTTGGCATTCAGGAGAGAGGACAAAGCTACAGAGAATAATCTTGGAGTCATCTGTTTTCAGGTAGTATTTGAAATCATGAGATTGGACAAGATCAGTGAGGAAGTGAGCATAGCAAAAAGAAGTTCCAGGATAAGCCCTGGTGCACCAACCTTTTCCAGTCAAGAGGAGGAGGAGTGGCCAGAGAGAGAAGGAAAACCAGGGGAATGTAGCATCTGGGAAGCCAAGTGAAGACATGGTATCTGTGCTGAGGTTTTGGAGGGATTATAAAATGAGGACTGAGAATGGATGATTGGATTTGGCAAAACAATTTATTGGTGACTGAAAAGAACTCAGGAGACATGGGGAGCAAGGCCCAATGGCAGAGTTTAAAAAGAAATTTCCAGTTGAACATGACAGACTGATCACAGGAGTTGACCTCATTTCCCACCCAAATCCTATTCGCATGGCATAAAGTTATAAAAGACACAAAAATCTACAAAGAAACAATGGAAGAGGAGACACCAGTGAGCAAAAGAGGTCAACAAAATTATACAGGCTGGGAATGGATGGAGGAGTGATAACTGACCCCAGTGACCACAGGCCCCATCCCCTAAGTGGGTAGAAGCCTGCAACAGTTGAGTCAGAGCATGTGAACTTGGGCACGAGGCATAGCTGATGGCCACTGAAAGCAGAGATTGAGTGAAAGTCTACATTTGTAAGGGAGCCCAGTCCCACTTCTCCCATTCAGCCAGATAGCTCAAGGCAGGAGTGGGAGGATTCCTCTGAAACACCTGGCCCACAAGAAAAGATCTGCAAACATTGGTAACTGGGACCCAGTAGAAAAGAAAAACTATCACCTTGGTGGCTTTGCTCATTAACACAGAGCTTCCAACAAGCTCTTCAGAGCCCCACTGCCAGCATGAGCCAGACATTTGAGAAAAACAATGCAACACAACCTCCAGCCATGTATGTGATCCGTCTTGGACATCCACCCCAGTCAAGCCTTCAGATGACTGCAGCCTCAGCCAATACCTGACTGCAACTGCAGGAGAGATTCCAAGAGGAAGCTGCCCAGCTGAATCCTTCTCAAATCTAAGTTACTACGTTTGGGGTAGTTCGTTTAATAGCAATAAAAACTAGAAAAAACCACTAATAAGTGCCCAGCACAATAAATGGGGTAGGAGGTGGGGAGCCTAATACAAGTATGTTGTTGAGAAACTTGAGAATACCAGGGTTAGAGGTGATCTTAAAAATTTCCAACAACAAAAAACCAAAAACATAAGGGAATGATTTCCAATCTAAAATTCTATTCCCATTCAAATGAGGAATAAGAGTAGAAATAAAGACATTTCAGACATGCAAGCTCAGAAGGCAACTAGAGGATTGTTTGAAGGCAACCATCAAAATACAAAAGCAGGGCCGGCCCGGTGGCGCACTGCTACAGTGCGCCGCTTGGGAGCGCGGCGGCGCTCCCGCCGAGGGTTCGGATCCCACATACAGACCGGCCGCTCACTGGCTGAGCGAGGTGTGGGCGCAACACCGCGGGTTGCGATCCTGTTGCCGGTCCCAGTCCGGTACGGGCACGACACTGAGGGTTGCGATCCGTTGCCGGTCACGAAAAAAGACAAAAAGGAAAAAAAAAAAAAAAAAACGAAAGCAAACCAAGGAAGAGGAAGATATGATTCAGAATCTACGAAATGTCCAGGCTGTGGTAGGAAGACGGGGTTCCTACAGGGTCATCTCTGAGACAGTGGAGCTAGTATGTTACCTGATGCACATGATTATGTTGGTAGGAACATTATACTTAGGGCAGAAAGTGTTGAAAGTAATGACAGGAACCGAGAAAACCAAGCAAACGAAAAAACAAGGCAATTATTAACTTCAGGAAAAACCAAAAGTTGTACCTAAAGGAAATGTAACCATAAACCAATACAGGGCTCAAGAGCAAACAGTAAACATATATTCATGCTGAACTCTGAATGCAGATTCCAGCCAACACATTATATGAAACTGTTTAGGGAAAACCAGTAGGAGAGAAATGTATGTGGGTATTTCAAAAAGCTCATGGAAAAATGGAATTAAAAGATAATATGAATCTTTCCCTGAACTCTAGAAGACTGATCAGACATATACACATGTGGGTGATATACATTACAAGGAAGACAGTATAGGGCAGCTAACTCCTCTTCCATTGTAGGATATCAACAATGTCTAAAATCAGGATTAAGAAACAGCATTATTTAAATATTTATTGATAAACATGAAGTTAATCACTGAAGAAAGCCCTAAAGGAGTTGAATAGTATTTGTTTTGGAGAAGCAGGGATTGGCTGGTGGTGGTGGGATGAGCACTTCTCTTCATAGTGCTTGTGTTTTCTCAGTAAAATAAGCAAGGTCATCACCTAAGAATGTTGAAGATTTGAAGAGAATGAGAAGACATGAAATAGTCTTCTCGGAGAGTATGGGGGATGTAAGGATTAGATTGGGAGTGCCTGCCATTTTAAGATCAGTGGTCATACTCAGTGTCAGTCACCAAGTTTATAACTCTTTCTGTATGGCTCAAATGTATCACCTCTCCCCACTCCAACTGCTAGCAGACTCTGGCTTATACCCTTCCTCTTTCACCTGGACAGCTGCAGCACCCCACCTCAAGATTTCTGCCTCATCTTGCTGACCTCCCCCACACGCCATTTTAAAAAGAATATGGGACCAGATTACTTCTCTGCCTAATTTCTTCCAACTGGTTCCCATTGCACTCAGAATAAGGCAACAAGGATCTCTGTGGTCTGACCTTGCTGGCCTGTTCCCCTTACTTGGCTACACAACCAGACTGGTACCTCCAGGCTTTTCTCATGTCCTCCTGGGTACCCTCCCCAGCTGCACCCCTGTACTCCTCTCCTGGAATTCTGCTCTCTCCTGCATCCCACCCTCACCCCATCTTTCCCTGCTTCCAATCCTGACACACGTCTCCATGCACATCCTCAGAGAGCTATGCACGTATATATCTTGGCTCTCCCAGATGTCAGCGGGGTGGGCCTGGCAGGCAGGGGCCCTGTGCCTTATTCATCCCTGCATCGCTGATGTCTGGCACATCACAGACTACGACTTTGCTGAGAGAATCACCTGTTACACACAGAAATGTAGGCTGCTAACTCCCTCAGCACATATGCTGGTGGGTCAGTCTGCAGAGATCATGAAAACAGATGAGAATATCTAAGATGTCACACGGAGGAAACAGCATTTCATTCTGAAAACTGGGAAAGACCTCACTGGACATATGAATGGTTTATTTGCATGATTAATAATCACATTTCCAACAGTGCATCAAGCATCTGAGAATAACATTATTTTGAGTAAAAGCAGAAACTCTTCTGGAGAGACGCCCTTCCCTCAGGTCAGGCTGCTCAAATGTCGACCATGTCCAGCAGTGCAGAAAGATGAAGTTCAGACGCAACTTCCTCATTCCTTGAACTCTGGATCAGCCTTTCCAGGTGCTTCAGCCGTTCAGTCAGAGATGTGCCTGTCGCCTCTGACAGCTGCAGTCGCTCCCCTGTCCTTTCGCTCTATTTTTATAAAAAAGAAACTGAAAATAGTTTGGGGATATTGATAAACCAAGACCTATTCCCTGTGAAGGCACTAGATCTAGCTCGTGTTAGAAACTTCATCTGGGGCCTGCTGGGCTCAATAGATCTCCTTGACATCCATCACACATCCTACCAGCTCTTCTAGCACATACATATAGCTGGTATAATCTGTACATGGACTGTTTCTCTTTGTATTCTATCATGAACAATCTCCAGTGTTAGTCATTTGTATAAAATATCATTGTCCAGGGCTGTGAATTATTCCTCATAAAAATGTATTGTAATTGTTTATCCAGACTCCCAGCTTTGGACATTTAGTTTGTTTCCACTTTTGTGCGGTATAATTAATGCCAGTGAACAATTTTATACATTAATTTTTGTGAATATCTGATCATTTCTTTAGGACAGAATAGGTAAGTCGAAGGGAATGAGTATTTTTAAGGTATTTGCCAAACTGATAAATGGAAACAAGGAGTCATCCTAATTTGCTTCTTTTCTCCCCTATCGAAGGACTTCCCAAAGCCAGTCCAGAAGCAAACTTTTTACCTGTCCAGCAGCACATATCTGTGATTAAAACTCTGTTTTTCCTTCTTTAACCACTGAAGGAAGGATAGTGAGGTAGAAAGACCTTGGGCTTTGGAGTTAGTCAGGTCTGACTTTGATAAGCAGCTCTGCCACGGACCAGCTGAATACTCTTAGATGATGCTCTTGATTTGTGAGCTTACCCTCCTCATTCATTAACTGTCCTCAGGAAAAGTTAATCCCAGAAGGAAGGACTGGGTGATGCCAAGGATCAGAGAGTATGTGCTCCACAAACACAAACTGCTATTGTCACCTTTGTTACTTTTGTCAATGCCCTTACTGTACGTCAGCACCTAGTTACAGGATTTATTTGATTCTTAAGCATGTTTCAATTCCATTCTTCACTTATTTCACAAGCAGAAACTCAATTAGTTAGGTCTCTGTAACAGGGACATATTAAGTCTAAGAAAAGTCTAATTTAAGCTAATAATTTACTGGTCCTTGTAACATCATATGATGAATCAAGACGACTTTTTTCCCAGCGATTCTCTCAGTCTCTAATTCTAATGTAAATGCCAAACGCACTTTCTCACCTGTGGCCTAGTAGTTGTAGATGTTTTCATCACAGGTTCGATAGTCTGAGGAAGTGACACTAGAGTCTGAGGAAGGTAGAGGGGAAGGGAAGTAGAATCTGTAAATGCTCCTGAGTCTTCAGACAACCACTGCTGAAGTTGATCTTCAAACCTGAAACAATATGTGATCACAAATTCAGAAACATTTGACCATTAGGAAGCAAAAGAGAAAAAAGAATTGATAAATTCGACTTTTTTTATGCCTTTGCTTTTTATACTAAGGATAGAACTAAGTTATGATGTCAACTGAGAAGCAAAAATGTACTTTTAAAAAATGTAATTTCTGGGCCGGCCCCGTGGCGCACTCGGGAGAGTGCGGCGCTGGGAGCGCAGCGACACTCCCGCTGCGGGTTCAGATCCTATATAGGACTGTCCGGTGCACTCACTGGCTGAGTGCGGTGCGGGCGACACCAAGCCAAGGGTTGCGATTCCCTTACCGGTCACGAAAATAGACAAAAAAAAAAAAATGTAATTTCTGGGCCGGCCCCGTGGCACACTCGGGAGAGGGCGGCGCTGGGAGCGCAGCGACACTCCCGCTGCGGGTTCAGATCCTATAAAGGACTGTCCGGTGCACTCACTGGCTGAGTGCGGTGCGGGCGACACCAAGCCAAGGGTTGCGATTCCCTTACCGGTCACGAAAATAGACAAAAAAAAAGAAATGTAATTTCTTCCCTTTAACTTATAAATCAGTTTATATTTAATGAGAAAGGCAGCATTAATCCAAAACAACTGCTTCTGAGTGTTACTTAACATTGTAATTCTTCCCTTGGTTTATCTTCTCTATTTGAACTATTTTGGCTTTGTGCATCTATTATTAATTCTTGTCTCTTGATGGATTATCCAAATGTATAGATCACTGCTTACAGTTTAAATTAACTCAAAGTAGTATCCCACTGACACCTAACACACTACAAAGCTGTATACCGCCATATACTTGTCTTTTCAAGAAAAACAATCTCATCCTAAACCATTTAAATTACACAGACCTATGCAAATCTACTTTTAGAAATCATGACACATTCATTCACTCTTCCAACACATATGAGGGTACTTCAAAAAGTTCACAGAAAGGGGCCAGCCCGTGGCTCACTTGGTGAGTATGGTGCTGACGACACCAAGTTAAGGGTTAAGATCCCCTTACTGGTCATCTTTTAAAAAAAAAATTCACAGGAAGATTCATACTATCTTTTAATCCTATCTTTCCATGAACTTTTTGAAGTACCCTCGAATTTATCAAGCCCCCATCAAATGCTAGGTACCATCCTAGGAACCACGGATACAGCACTTAAACAAAACAGATAAGGCCCGGCCAAAGCAGCTTGTACTTTAGTGAGGGGAGATGACAACGACCACATAACAAGGGAAACATGGTCTTAGGATGAGAAAAACAAAGCAGGGCCATGGAAATGGAGTGTGGGTGACGGGCATGGAGGGCCTCACTTCTCAGCAGATTTAAGCAGAGACCTGAAGTGAGTGCAAGGTCAGCCATGGGGATGATGGGGAAGGTGCAGTAGCTGGGGAGTCCCAAGCAAAAAGAACAGCAAATTCAAAGGCAACAGCAAACACAAGGGCCTGGCTGTGAGCTGCAGACACATTCGAGAAAGAAGCCGAGATCGGAAAAGAAATGGGGGGGGCAGATCACGCAGGGCCTAGGCCATCCTTGTAGAGTTTGATTCCAGGTGAAAGAGGAAGCCACTGAAAGGTTGTGAACAAAGGAGTAACATGACCTCTTTATTCTACACTTGAAAGGAATCCACTGGGTCTGCTGAGACTAGACTACAGCCCACTTCAATGATCTGGAGGGAAGATGAAGGTAGCGTGAGCCAGGCGGGAGCCATGGAAGTCACAACATGGTCCATTCCTGAATATATTTTCAATAGAGCCAAAAGAATTTCTTGACGGATTGGATGTGAGATGATTCCAAGGCATTTCGCCTAGACAGCTGGAAGGATGGAGCTGCCATCAAAAGAGAACACCACCGAAGGAGGGGCTAGTTGGGAAAAACTGGGAATCGGATTTGGGATAGTTAACTTTGCAATGGGTAATCGACATCCAATAGATGCCTAGTGAAGATTTCAAGGAAGTAGTAGGATGTTCAAGTCTGGAGTTCAGAGGACTCAGGATTTGATATAAATTTTGAGTTGTCAAAATATTGTTATTTTAAAATCCATGACACCACATGAAATCACTGGGGCATGGGTGCAGACAATGCAGAGGAGAGGTCCAGAGAGTGAGCCAGGGGAGTGGGGGGGTTGGAGGATGAGGAAGAACCAGCAGGGAGGTCCTAGAGAACTGGCCAGCAGGGTGGAAGGAGGACTCTGGGCATCCCAGAATCAACGAGAGAAGGAGCAAAGGTGAGGATCACTGCCGGGGAGTGTGTTCATGGTCATGTCCAGCTGTGTACAGGCTGCTGGAGACTGGGAAAGGGAAAGTGAGTACCACAACTGTTTTTGAGTTTTACTGTCAAGAGAGCAGAACATGGTGTGAAGAGAGAAACAGGCCATAAGAGGAAGAAATGCCAGTATGTTTTCATGTCTGTGAGCTGATGAGCTGATGGAATAATCTAGTACAAGGGATCCAGGAGAGGAACACTCACTGGACGAGGGTCCTTGAGCAGGTGGGAGATGAGGTCTCAGCCCAAGGGAAAGGGCTGACCTTGGCTACGAGCTGCACGGTTCCTCCCCAGCAACAAGAGGGGACAGTGAGGCAATGGGGAGGCAGGTGGAGGTGGTCAGGCAGGGCAGGGGAGGCAGAAGGATGGCCTGTGCAAACTGCCTTCTTCCTGGTTCTATGAGTGTTTCTCAGTAAAACTAAACAACGCCATTAAGTGGGGGCAGAAGGTGTGCATGGGAGGGACAGAAGTAGGGAATGCAGAGGAGGGTCAACTCCAGCCCCTGCCCAGCCACAGCATGGGATGACCTACCGACACCTCAGGGTTGCCACGGGCAGAATGCAGCAGCCAGCCACACTGTCAGCACTCACCGTCTGAGTGGACTTAGTCACACATACTTTTTTTATTTTCAAGATGACTGGTAAGGGGATCTTAACCCTTGACTTGGTGTTGTCAGCACCTCTCTCCCCCAAGTGAGCCAACTGGCCATCCCCATATAGGGATCCGAAGCGTGTTATCAGCACCACGCTCTCCCAAGTGAGCCACGGGCCGGCCCTAAGAGCTTATACTTTAATGTGTTTGACTTGCTGCCTTTTTTGAACACAGTCACATCACTCCAGCCCTTGAGAATCCATCTGCCCTTCTCCATCTGGCTGTCTTGACTCAGTCGTGCCATAGCCAGTCTCTCTCCCCCAGCATGAAGTAGACTAAAAAACACACATGAATTGGAAGGGAATGGGCTTCACCTCTTGTTCTCCTCTTTCTCCAGCAGCAGACTGCTTGACAGACACTGCGCCAGGAGTTCCTCAGCAGAAGCTCCTCGCATCAGATCCTCGGCACTGGGAATCCTCCCCTCCTGGCCACAGTCGGCGCTCCTCTTCCCTTTACAGTACACACGAAGCAACGGAGTGGGGAAGTTGTTTGCAGAAGGATGAAGAGACTTTATCCCCAAACTGTTAAATACATGTTTTGAAACGCTTACAGTCAGGAAAAAGAAGGAGACAGGATTCCTACACATCATGTAAAGTATGTGGCCACAGAGCCAAACATGTGTGTTCATGTGCAAGCACACACATGCCTCAGACCTACATACCCTCCTGGGACGGCTCATGCGCATGATCACACCAGCCCCGCACCTGCTTCTGAGCTTCCCTCAAGTCAAGGAATGGGGCCCAGTGGGAAGGTGGTCTCTGCACTGCAGGGTGACCCTCATGCAGTGAGGAGCATCAAGAGACTCCGTCTGTTCCTCCTGGAAGCTTCCGCTCTCGTGAGGCAGCTGGGCTCTCAGAGCTTCTCTAGTCTGTCTTGCTTCCCATCCCAGGGTTATAAACAGATTCTGTTTTTCCCAAACACTGGCAAGGTTATCTTTCACATTTGGCTCTTGGATCTATCTGGAAGTAATATTTGCAAAACAGTGGGAGAAAAGGGATCTAACTTTTTTCCTAAACAGATGCCAATGTCTGTTCTTTCCCCACTAATTCCATCAATTTGGCATGGCACTTTTGTCTCAGGTGGTTCTATTTCTGGACTTCCTGTTCTGATCCACACGTGTACTCCTGCATTACCACATGGTTTCAAGTACTGTAGCTTTATGGTATGTTTGGTATTAGGCCAAACAGACCTTTCTTGTCATTCTTATTCAAAATTTTCTCAGCAATTGCTACATATTTTCTTATCCTGATGAATTTTAGAATTAACTTGTCAATACCAGGGGAAAAATCCTTTTGGGTTTTTGATTAGAAATGCCCTGACTTTAGAATTTGAGAATTGACACCTTTACAGCATTATGTCCTCCCGTTGACAGAGTGAGCCTACACCTCATTCATTCAGGTTCCCTTTATATATGCAGGACCCTGAGAGCTCCCCTGATGGGCTCAGCACCTCTCCTGTCGGTTTATGTCCTTATATTAAGGGTTTCTTGTTGCTGTGAATGAGAATATTTTCATATGTTATAGGTCCATCTATCTGATCTCTGTGCTGAACTCTGAACAAGCCCAGTTCTAAGAGCTTGACTGTTGATTATCTTGGACTGATGAATGTACAGTCTGGTTTTTCCTTCCTATTGATATTTATGCCCATCAATCCATGTCCCTGCACTGGTCAGGATTTCTAGGACAACAGTGAACAGGGAACAGCACATGCTGCTTCTGACTTCAGTGTTTCTAATTGTTTACCAGGATGCATGGTTTTTGTTTTTGTTTTTTTCTTTTTGGTAGTTTTACACTAAGTAGCCTTATCAACTTAAGGAATTTTTTTTTACCCAAGCTTGATAAGAAATTTGTATCAGGAATGGGTATAAATTTTGAGAAATGCATTTCAAAACCAACTGAAATGATCACTAATTACATTAATAGATTCCTACCATTGATATTGTTTATCCTGGGAGAACGCCTACTTGTGAATTCTTTTAGGTACTACAAGACTGTGTGTGCCAACAGTTTACTTGCTGTTTTTGAACCAGGTCTGTAAGTGAGGTGAGATGTCAGCTTTCTTTTTTGGCACTCTCCCAGTTAGGTATGATTTCAGAGTCAGGTTCATCTGATCAATGAAGTGACATGCTCGTAACTTGTCTCTGCTCTAGAACAGTTTCTGCTACAAAAGAATGATCTGTTCCTTGCGGGTTTGTCAGAAGCTGCTCACACTGGGCTGGATTCAGTGCACAGGATATTAATTTCCATCTGGGTACTTTGGGAGAGAACGATGCAGTTTAGAACAGCAACAGAAACACACACTGAACGTGGATCTCACCGTCCCTGACGCAACTGTAGCTCCCTCTGCGTCTGCAATCTGGCTTGTTCCCACAACAAGGGAATGTCATATTTTTTCAAATCATTTTTAAAAAAATACACACATATCTGATGATCCTCACTCAGTGCCTCTGAGAAAACAATTAAAAACAGATAAAAAGAATATCAAAAGAGCAACAGGTAACCACTCAACATTTGCTTAAATTCACTGATTTAAAGACAAGCCCTTCTGATTAAAGACTAATTAAGATTAATTAAAGTCATTAATCAATTAATGACTTTAACGTGGAAGTTTGAGTCGAGTATGCTCCGAGTGTCCATGGTCCCTCAAGGTCCACACAGGCTTCGGTCTAGACTGCAAAGGGCCCAGTAATAACCACTGAGAGCCACAAATCCTCTCTAACCTAGAGCCAGCCAAGGGGGCCTATTTCAGGAGGGGAGTCCAGGCTCTACTGGAACCCTCTTAGCTCTTCCTAATGCTTATAAGTCATCTGGAAGTCACTGGCTTGAAGCAGGAGGTCCTAATGAAAGGAAGGGTGGGGACCCAAAGGCAAAGAAGCAACATCAAATAAACATCATTCTTTGCTAAACTGAACCACAAACGTCCCGTGAGGACCTGGCCCCATAGCACCGAGCTCTACCTACCTGACGTGATGGGAAGCCGGGGGGGCGTCCAGTCCCTCAGCTTGTGGTTGATACACAAGGCGACAACATCATCCCACGGGATCTCAGCGACCGAGGGCCCTACCCCATGGCCTGGGGAGGGGTTCTTGCTCTTCCACCTGCAGTACGTTCTATGGAGCAGGTTCTCCACCTGGGACTGGAGGATGGGCTGCGTCTGGCGTGAGCTGGGGATCTGAGAGGCGTACTGGATGACCATGGAGCACACGGGAAGCCAAGGGGCTGGAGGGAAAGCACCTCATTGCTTGTTTGGCAAAAATACAAGTGAAAATCTACATGAAAATGCTCTTAACTCTGTTTTCTTAGGAGAAGGTAGCTGTGTACTCAAGAAGTTTGCTTTCAAGTATGAACACATCAAAACCAGAGCTGCTGAGGGAAATAGCTGCTTGCTCCCAGGGCCCAGGTGAAGGATGCAGACAGTCACCCTGGGAGTGTCCACAGCAAAGGTCCACCCAGAAGTTCTGACTGTACAGGCCTGTGGTTGCACTTAGCAATCTGTGCTTTAACCAGCACCCAGGTGAGTCGGGTAGAGGTGGCCTTGACTTCCCTTGGGGACCTGCAAACTAACTGAGGGCACAGCGGGCTTGTGCTGAGTGGTTTGCTTCCCTTTGGATCCCTTCAATAATAAGCACTGGTTAGACCTACTGAAGGCCACACCCACAATTTGGAAGGGCACCTGCGGCCCAAACGGGGGTGTCTGTGCCAAGCAGATGAGCTCTGCCAGGCAGGCAGCAGGCAGGCTTGTTCCCTCCCAATGGCCCACATCAAACCAGGCTTAAGCCACCCCAGGTAACCTGTAGAGTCAAACTGCCTGGATGCCTCACCTGGGCACAGCAGGCACAGCCTGAGCCACAGAACAGAGGCTTTTGTGACAATGCAGGAACTCTGGCATTAAATTATCACTGAGTGCCATAGCACCAGCACAGTCAGCAGCTCTGGGAGAGGGCCCCACAGTCCCAATGCCCTTTGCCCCTGGCCCATCTGTTCTGACAACGGACCCTGTGGGGAAGTTAGGAGAGGCCACGTGGTTGGTGCTCCTCCCAACACCACCCACCAATTTCATGTCAAGGCAGACACCCACAGACTGCTCTGTTGGTGGGGAAAGGCCAACAGCCCCCACTCCACAAAACTCCAGCTCATTCTGACCCATGAACCCAAAGCTGGGTGCAGGCAGGTACAGAGTGGGGACAGGAAAGTGCACAGTGGAGGTGGATGTGCCAGCCACACAGTGGTACCCAGTGCCCGTCGCACTGTCACACCAGTGAGAAGGAAGGAGGCTTGGCTAGGGCCACCTCTCCCCTCCTCCCTCTGCACAAGCACGCACCCCCTGGAGGTGGGAGGTCCATCTGCGGAAGCTGGAACCCAAGCACTGCCTGCTTCAGCCAGGCAAGGTGCTCCGGGGCATTCCAGCACAGGTGAGGAAGGAGCCGGCTGCCCCCCGCCTCGGCAAACTCGGTGACAGGCCAGGACAGGTCACACAGCTTCTCAGAGGACACTACAGACGCCAGGAACTGCAGCACAGTGTTGAAGAGCTCAACGATGGCACTAGGCTCCTGTGAGGCCAGGCCACCCAGGCGCCTCTCTCTTCTGTCATGGAAAAACCGGCCGCTAAACTCATGGCTAACCCCGTCTTCAACATACTGAATGAGGGTCTGGCAGCAAAGGTCAAGGGCACAGGGGCTGCGGGAGACCAGCCACTGCACTGCCTGAGAAACCTGGAAAGCAAAGATAATGGGAAGAGACACAGTTAAACCAGTCACGCTGATTTCCAAACACAGCTTTATGAAGGCGCTTGGTGGTCTTCCTGGGGTCAGGAGACCCCACCCACAGCAGATGCCACCAGAACACCAGACCCTCACCCACGCTAGAAAGGGGAGCAGAAGCTTCCTCTGTGGTTGAGTTGGCGTTCTAGGACCCTGGAGACATGCCCAGCAGGGGTGCCAGAGAGCTCCCCCATCCCCAGTCCCATCCAGCCTTCAGGCTCACCTCCCTGGAAAGGCCCCGGCAAACCATCCCTGCACACCCTCTCCACCACACACAGAAATGGAAGGCACACCTCCTCGTTCTCAGGAGGACTAGTGGTTTCACCACATGCCAGGATGCCCTCACACCTGTAGTTATCTTTCTTCCTGTGGTTACTTTTATTTTAATTCCTGGCACCTCTTTCCCTTAATAAAATTGTTAGCACAGACTTCCTTTTTTAAGGAAATCTCAGACATTACTTCTTCATATATTCTAAGGACGACCAACCCAGAAAAATAGTTTATATATGTGACCTCCAGTGATAAGACATGAATGGTCATATTTTAAGTTCATAAAAATAGAAACATTTTAAAAATTTACATGAACAATTTAATTTGTCGCAGATAGCAGGACTATGGAAAAATTTTATCTTTTCCTTTGATTTCTATTTACGTTTTTAGAAAGTTATCTGTATGAAACATAAAACTAAAACTGCAAAGACTAATATACACTAAATTCAAGATATGGCAAACCTGATGGACTTTTAAAAATGATGAAACCTTACCTTAGTTGTGCCTTGTAAATCATTAATAGAATCAGGGATCTCAATAACAGTGTAATCTGAAATCAGCTTAGCTGAAACCAAATCCTGTAGCATCAGACCTTTAAGAGAAACCGACAAAGGTCACACATGTTCTGCTCTCAGTCTGTACACATGCTAACACATCTCACTGCACTGACCCCAGCCAGCTATACAGTGGACCGTCACCGTGGGGGCTACTGTCCCAACAATTCCCAACACCACACTGCTGGCCCTTCCTTGGACCCAGGGCTCCACCCGTTTATTAAACAATGCCAGTTCATAAACGAGACTTCCTTCACAAACCATCCTCCACTTCCTTCTGTACAGTGGACCGTCACCGTGGGGGCTACTGTCCCAACAATTCCCAACACCACACTGCTGGCCCTTCCTTGGACCCAGGGCTCCACCCGCTTATTAAACAATGCCAGTTCATAAACGAGACTTCCTTCACAAACCATCCTCCACTTCCTTCTCGATGGCATCCCCTCCGGGGCTGGGCATGAGAACCACCAGTGGCAGTGAAGGCTTCAAGGGCTTGGCCTGCAGGAGTTGCTTGAGCTGCAGCAAGGCCGAGAGCCAGTACACATCCTCCTCTGCCATGTCCTCGCTCTTCACTTTGGGGGGCAGCAGCAGCATGAGCCCACTGGCTCCCAGGAGGTCCTTCTGTGTCTCCGCAGCATCAAGAGCACCATCACTGAGTGCACCATGGGCCACCTGCAACAGCACCCAGACCATCAGGATGGGTGCACCAGGGGGCAACAGTGAATGGTTTGCCCCAGGGCAGGTATGGCCAAAGTGGTCCATGCACCAAATGCTCAATGCACTCTAGACAATCGTCCAAGGACACAGCTGGACTGGCCCTCCCTCCACAAGACCATGAATTAGTGTGAGAAACAGTCAAGTCAACAGATATTTTAGCATCCAGCTAGAACTGTGTTTGACCATGTTACTATGATGTTAACACTAACCTTCAACAGTATAAAAACAGTTAAGCCCATAATGATGGAAAGGGGGAAGGCAAGCCAGCAGAAGAAAACGGATTCACATTTCTAGAAAGCAGCTAGGACATGGGACCAGTCACTGGGCTAGGGAAGCAGAGGAAGCCACACCTGTAAGCTGTGGATGTGGGTATGGCAGGAGCCACGCTAGCTAAGCTCCCAGGCCCTGCACGTACCAGATGCAGAGGCACGACCCTACAGGTCATGCACATACCCTGCAGGCAGCCTCTAAGTGCACCCTGTTCCCCTGGGCCCCTGAGCAGGAGCCTGAGAGGATCTAGACATAGGGCCTCGTCAGGTACAGTACAGGAGGACTCAGAACCGGCCACCCCCACCCCCAGCTGCTGTCCTGGAAAGGAGATGAGACAAGTCCTTTCCAGAAAAATAGGACAGCCCAGGGAACAGATATCCAGATCCAGACATTCGGAAGTGTCCCCCAAAAAAGGCTGGCTTGCCATTCAGTTACCTTCTATTGCACCCCAAACAGAGCTTCTGGCTAGCCTTTTTAGGGCCTCACTCAGGCATGGACAGAGAGCCTCAGCTAAGGACACTGAGGGACCCTCCAACATAAAAGAAAAACTAGAAAAACAGCAAAAGAAACCCAGAGGAGGGGCCGGCCCGGTGGCGCACTGCTACAGTGCGCCGCTTGGGAAGCGCGGTGGCGCTCCCACCGAGGGTTCGGATCCCACATACAGACCGGC